CTTCAGGAAAATTTCTCCTAATTTTCTCTCATACTTCACATAAGATTCATAACAAACATACACAACACTTCATGATAGATTAAGATTACAAGCAAGTATATATCACTTCTTCTTATCACCAATGCTGATTGCATTGACTTGCAACAACCAATGCAGTGATACCCATAGCAATAAGACAGCAGCATACAACAGCCATCAAATTTTCTCACTGTTGCTGGGGAAACAACATTTGGTATTGTCAAATATTATAAACACATTTCCAAAATAAAACCAAATGTCTTTCCTACATGTCAGAATTAATAATAAATTAACATGCGCATTTCTATTTTACACATCTGTGGGGTTATGTTACCACATTACTATTGGGATGTTGTAAGATGGCTGTATTACAAAAGAGTAGGCATCAACAGTCCAACCTAAAACTTCTTTCTTCAGTGTGTAAGCATGCAAATTAACAGTGTATTATATCTGAATTATGCACATGAACTGAAATAATCTACAGTAAAACTTCAGAATCATAATTTTCACTAGATGAAGAATAAGAACTGTGGCATAGAAAAGAAAGTATTTTCTCTTAGCTCAAACTGGAAGCATCAAAATTAAACACCATAATGTATAAATGTCTAAATGTTAGAATTAATGATAAGTTCCATTGTAAGAGCACTTATAAATTATTAAATATATTAATTAAAATAAACTTAAATGAATCATAAAACCATAAACCTAAATAATACAATAAACATGATCATAGTCCATCAAAGTTCCACTATCAAAGCACAGGATATATGATCCATGGTACAGAATTATATTTCAGTTGAGGTCCTTGTGTAATCAGTGATTATGGGTTACATTTCAGGAAATAAATTTTAAAAATCTGGAAAATCAGGCACCATCAACATTACCTGTTTCATGTTAATTCTCAAAAAGATACTTTCCTTTTCAAGAGAACATTTCAGGCACTGCTATTACAGACATTCTCTGAATATTTATTTATTGAACCTCAATAAGGCTTGAAATTGTATGTCCAAATAAATTATAATTTCACAGCACACTTACTGGTTCTAAAATCATCCCAAGCTCTGGATCAACATTATCGTAGCGGTTGAACACAACAAGAGATTTCCTTGGAGTTGGAAGTTCATACATCTCAATATCACCCAACTGTCTGATTACGTTCCATAAGTAAGCTTTGCTGTTATCATCCACTGCACATGTAAAGTTTGGTCTATGAGACAAGCGAGTCCACAAACCTGAAATATTATAAAATATTAAAACAGCGCTCATGAAATTCATAAATATAAATATATAAATGATATAAAGACAAATTATTGAAACACATTACTACACCTTCCAATGTAATACCATCCAATCCCTCCAGGGCAATCTCATCTGTAATCGCAGTCACAAAGTTCTGAGTGACTCTATACATCTTGAAGTATTATGCACCCTGTGGAAAGTAAAATACAATGCTTATAATAAACTACAGACAGTTTCTTGGGTTTTCTTCAATGATCCAACCTAGACATAAACAATCCATTTTCCTGATGATACTAGTATTATTAGCCCATTCATAAACTGACTCCTTTCAAATCTTTCAAATTTGCTAGCTTGAACAGACAGTTCAAAATAAAATATATGTTACATTCTGGTAAAACAAACTTCACAAAAATTGCTAATTACAGAAAAACATACACAAATACAAAATATAATCACAAAATAATCAAAACTGAAGGTTCTACTTAATACCATGGCTTAGAAGATGACTCCATCATCACACTCATCGCCTTGATAATGGAGGCAGCAAGGACCTCAGAAACATTGGTAAACCCCTACCAGACTATAAGGAGCTACAACCCATAAGACAGCCTCTTGTGTGATATGTATTAATGTTTTCAAAAATCATTATTTGCATGAAAAACAGTCTGCTCATGAAAAATTTCTTCCACAGAAATCATAAAAACTGATGGCAAGTGTTCAAAATAGCAGTCTCTTGAAAAGAATTATTTAAGGAATTTGAACAACTTCCTTCTACCAGAAAATTCTTACTTTCATTATTGGTAGTCATTATAGACAACATGGAAAAATTATGAACAAATTCAGGCATACAAAAAATATGGCATAAATATGACCTGCATATGCTGTGTTAACATATATATCAAAAAGAACTGTACTATAGACAAACCAAGTTATTAAATATGTTTCCATCAACCATTTGAAGTTGAAATCATGATAAAAGTATCTGAGAGAGAATTAAGAAATTATCTCTTAGTTAAATCTTTCACTCAGTAGATGAATTTATTTTGACAAAGAATTGTCAAGGATTATAAATAATTATTAAGTTCACAGTTCTTTGATGTAATTACCATATTCAGTATAATTTGATATCCTAAACGAATGGTTAACACATGGGTCATGATTCACACTGTGAAGGCTGGGTTTCCATGATCCTCTTTAACCCTTTGAAGCTGTATCCAAATAATATTTAAGAATTCAGTCCACACTGCAAAGAAAACAGAGCACTTCACTATAACAAAGATTAACTGGTTAATGCTGTTTAAGGGAATAATAATGGTTTACAGTGACAATTTTTGGCACAAGTCTCACATTTAATTTTGACAAAACAAATTTCATTAAACTGTGTACTACCAGCAAAAATTGTGTTAATACAATTGTACATGGTACGAGATTTTAAAATTAGTCTACTTTACTTACTTCCATTCGATCAGGTCATATGGAATTATTTTCTGGGGAGACTCAACAGGCAGCAAAAAGTATTCTACATTCAAAATAAATCATTAGAATAATGGAAGGCAGTAAAACAAGAGCCTTATGTATGGAACTGTTTAATAGATTTAATATTCTTCCACTAGCCAGTAAATTCTTGTTCTCATCATCATCATTATTTGTTGTGGACAACACAGAAAACTTTCAAACAGACTCAGATATACACAATATAATATACAGATATAACCTTAAATTCCTAAACAATAACCTAAGAACATATCAAAAAGAAGTTTACTATATTGTAATTAAGCTGTTCAATAATCTTCCCCCACCATAAAAAGTCTGAATTACGATATAAAGAAGTTTAAGACAGCATTGAAGAGTATCTCTTACCTCACTCCTGCTCCATATAAGAATTTACCTTAACAGAAAATTGTTATAAATACATGCCAGCTAATGAGGTGATGCTTTTGAAGGATTAATGGAATGGAATTAAATTAAATTCTATTCTTATCCTGATGTTACTTCATGCACACATATTCGATAGATTTAATGGGAAAAGACCTCCGTCGTTAAAATAAAAATAAGTGTGTCAATTATGTTAACCGATCTCAAGTTACGTACAACCACCTTTCACATGTGTATAAACACACATTCATAGTTGATTCCCCTATGCAATAAATACCATGATAGCATAGGCAGTGTCATCTTTGTGTCATTCACGGATTTACTACTAGAACAGAGAATTCTATTATTCTTAACAAATGCCAACTAGAATCATGTTTAGCCTTCAGGTATTTCTAATCCACGTGATCATCTGGACCAAATGTTACATTTAATTCCATAACCAGGTTCCCAACAGGTTGATTCACATATATCAATATAGTGCAGATTACTCTGCCTACGGGTATTTGTTCAATCTACCCCTTTCCCCACCGACATTACGCATACGCCTCCATATTTCTTTTGCACACATGGATTACCATGGAACCTGTGTAATCCGTGATGTAAGATTATTGTGATTCGAAGGGTTGCTGAAGGCAACGGCAACCCATGTGAAAGTAATGAACATTATTCCACTGCTCTGAGCAATGTCCTGCAACTGCAAACAGCTGTCTACAATAGAAACAGCAATTTCACTAACATACAACTTATACATATATTTATTTTGGCCGTCATATAATAGTTTATAAAATTAATAGAATTGATAACCTGAAGATGATATCTTAGTACATCGAAACATGTCGTTTCTAATATGAAGATGCCAAGAATGTAATATCGTAATACGATAAAAAGAGCACCAAAACATAACATAACGTATTTTATATATTTTATATTTATATTGTGAATGTTATAATATTTTAACAACTCATTTTAATAAGTTTGTGTATAGACTGCCAAAATAAATATATGTATTGAAATCAACACAAACATGACGCAATTGAGATACAAATACAACTTATAACATAACCTAAGTTGAGGTGAATGCTCCAGTCATTGAGGCTTCGGGTGGTATTACAATTTTTTTGAGGGTAATGAATTTTCCTTGGATGAAACTAACTTGGGAAACCTTTGTCTCAGTCAGTCCCAGCAAAAGGTTATTTGTTGTCTCCTTTATTGCAGTCTGTGAATAACACTCGTTCAGCACGCACCACGTCCGTCTTCTTCCTCCTCAGGGACGTAAATTTCGCTACGGTCGACAGCTAACCGGCTGTATTAGTTTCTCTCCAGGGTTATTGAACGTGTGGATGGGTGAGACGTACCTTCTCCTCGATCCGTCGCCGTTAGGGCATGGTGGCACTATGTTAAAATTTGTATTGTAGTTCTCCATTAAATAGAGTCCATTTTGCTCCTTTGGGCCAGATGGATCGCTTCCTGTAGCAGTAATCCCATTGTGCGTTTCAGCTGTTCGACACAATGGGTGGCAGATCATTTGCATTCAACAAATATTAGAGAAAAAGTCGGAGTATAATGGGGCACCACCTATTTGCGGACTACGGGAAGGCATGTGACTCAGTTTTAAGAGAGGTAGTGTGGCATTTTGATTGAATTTGGAATACCAAAGAAACTTGTTGCATTAGTTAAGATGTGTAAGGCTGGGGTATCTAGTAGAGCTCGTGTAGGTAATCTTCTGTCAGATCCATTCCCAGTGCACAATGGCCTAAAACAGGGGGATGCTCTATCCCCAATGGTTTTTGATTTTGCTCTAGATCATGTCATCAGGAAGGGCTCAAATTAAATGGTGTGCACCAAATACTTGTCCATGGTGATGTCAGTTTGCTGGGGGATGGTGTGGGTACCAGAACCAAGAATGTGGAAACTCTCCTGCATGCTAACAGGGAAATATGCCTAGAAGTAAATGTAGACAGAACAGAAGACATGGGTATAATACGAGATCAACAACAGCAAAATATAGGATACATAAAACAATTTTGCCTGTTGTCTTGTATGGTCATGAAACATGGTATTTTACCTTGAAGGATGAATGAAGATTACAAGTGTTTGAAAACAAGGTGCACAGGAAGATATATGGACTGAGGAAGGAAGAAATAAGTGGGGAATTTAGAATATTACATAGCGAGGAGCTGTGTGAACTGCACAGGTCACCGAACATAGTGAGGATAGTGAAATCTAGAGGCGCTGGGCATGTAGCACACATGGGGGGCAAGGGGTGCATACAGAATTTTGGTGGGGTGTTCTTATAGAAAATAACCACAGGGCAGACCAAGAATGAGATGGAAGGATATCTTAAGGAAGTGGGCTGTGAGGATCTTGTCTGGTGGCAGGCTCTGGTGTTGGTCCTGCAGGTGCTCTGCTGCCAGGGAGTTGGTTATATTTAACGTGTTTCTTCCAATTTAAGTTACTGTCAATTTGTAAGCCAAGGAATTTGTCTACTTGTACTTCCTTAATTTATTGTAAAAACCTATATTTAAACTAGGACATGTCTTGTACTTTGTAGCAAATTTTATGTAGTTTGTTTATCAAAGTTTAGTGCCAGTTTGTTAGCTTTAAGCCATTTATTTAGGTTGGAAATGACATAAATTCTGGATGTGTAATAATGATACTTGTATCATCAGCAAAGATAATAGGTTTGGATTGATAATACAGTGTTAGACTGTAATCTTGAGACTTGCAGGGTGAGGAAGTGGGGTGAAGGAGGAAAGATAGCGTCAGCCTTTAACGCTTCAGATTTCCTACATTCCTTGAAAGTCTCAAGATTACAGTCGCGTACTATATATGGTTGCAGGAAGATCACTGATATATGCGAGGGAGAGTAGGGGTCCAAGTACTGAACCTTGTGGAACTCCATGATTAAAAGTTCCCCATTCTGAATAGGTATTATGATTGGTAAGGAGGGATTTAATTTCTGCTTTCTCCCTTCTATTATTTAGGTAAAATTTAAACCACTGTCCTGCTATTTTATATTCCAAAATGATCCTTTACAACTTACAGTCCCATATCTGAACATGTCTTGTTTGATTTTCTCAAGGCCTCTTCTGTCTGCATCTTAATTATAATTAGCGTCAAAATACCAGCATACATGAATCCAGTTTCTAGTTTTATTAAATGGAACATTAATTATATATAGCATAATTTACATTGTCTAAACTTCAAACTGGACTGCAGTGACCTCCATATGGTCTGTGCATACTGCTACTCTAGAGGACACAAGGTTGTGAGAATACGCTTAGGCGAGAGTTGCTACAGCCCTCTCCAGCATCAACACCAAGAATGCCAAAATGATACCAGCAACATATAAACTGAGAATAGGAGCAACCTGAAGAAGTTGAACGCTGCCATCAAACCTAGTAGATGGATGATGTTGATTTTCTTGTCGTTTCCAAAAGTGTAATGGGTGTCGAATCTGGAGTACATTCAAAATTCCACTCTCACGCAGACGCAAGATTCTGACAACAGAGAGCATGCATCTAAAAGTTTCTACAATTGTTTTAACTTGGGTAAGTTAAGGGAAAATAAACAGAAAATATAATTACATTACTGTGTGTAAAAAAGTCTATTACTGATATGAAACATAAATGTTTTCTTAATAATAATAATAATAATAATAATAATCTGTAACTTTTATTTAACTTTATTGCCATGTTTTGCATCTGTTCTGTAGCTAAATTCATTAACGTCCTCCTGTGAGAGCACAAATATAGTAATCCATAAATAGATTTTGAGCATGAACTTCTAATAAATATACTCTGTTGGAAATACCCTGATAAAATTATAATTTCCAATATGAATCCCATCAGATATCCTTTTCAGTATTCTCTTTCCATATTTAAAATTAATTTGGAATAACTCAAGATACTTTTCAGTGCCCTGAATTGGAATTTCTGCCTGAAAGGGATCTGAACACTGCCAGATGCTGGAAGATCTGTTAATTGGTATGAGTATCATCATGGAGTATCCACAGATATTTTTAATTGCATAATGGACAATGAAGGACTGTAGCTGGCATTGTAAACATATGATATGTGCTTTTAGAATGGTTATAAAGAAAAAACTTCAAGCACGGTCATGAAGTTCAATAACAATGCCCCTCTGTCCACAGTAACGAAGCATTCAGTAGTAAAACTTACATGACATCAATGAGGCATTTGCATGGGAAGCCTTTGACAAGACCACTGCTAATCCAGGATGAGAAGTGAAGATCAGTGACTGATATTACTTTACAATCACTGTTAACAGTGGTGACCTCAGAGGTCACAAAGGATGCGACATGGCCAGAGCAGACTTCATGAAATGCTTGTTGGTCACTGTTCACCATCTTAACTGCATTCTTCCACACAGCTTCATACACATTTCCCTTGGATTTCTGTATCACAACAGACTTGATTCAATCTTTCTTTGCTTCAGATCCCAACTGTTTTATTTTGCAGAGCTGGCTGCAGAACACTTTAAAAACTGGATTGTTTTGCCAGCATTTTAAGTAAGAACAGCATACTAGTAGAATATATATATGATATCATCATATTACAGTATCTGCATCTCCAATAATAACAATCATTAAATCACACTCAGCAGGGAAGAAGATAAAATATATGACCCTACATGCCAAATTTAATATGGTGGATGAGGTTGATGACCTAATATCACAATATAAGAACAAACTAACTGCCATGGGCCATTTGACAGGTATAAACTATGTACATACGCAACTGACAGTACGATTACTCAATAATGTTTACTGGAAAACAAGTTGTAGTTGAAGTAGACTGAACAGCTGATTACAGAAACATTGATCTGCTAGCATTAATAACATGATAACGCCAACAGAAGGAATTAGCTGAAATGCAGTTGGACAGATGGCTTTTTTGTAAGAGACTGCAAGAAAAATATTCTGTGTGACTGAGAAAATTGTAACTATTAATTTGTTTAAGGACCATACATCAAAACACTGCCAGTCACAATGAAATTCCTAAAGAGGCGAATAACTGTTGTTTTGTTTGCTACTGACTCAGTTCAAGACAGTTCTTGCAAAGCTCATTGGTAAAATACAAGTGAGTGGGTGACCAGACAAAACCGTACACGAAAATTGCGCACAGAAAGAAGCTCACTGTCATGAATGCTCACACGAAAATTACTCACATGGACAAATGCTCACACGGACAAATGCTCACACTGACAAATGCACACACTGATAAATGCTCACACTGACAAATGCTCACACGTACGAATGCTCACATGGACGAATGCCTATATTCACAATACTATAAGTAATCGGAAGCGTTAACTGGTTACCGTAGTAAACCGACGTTTCGGAATCAAATTCAATAAAATATTCTCGGGCAATCAGCCGCGTTAATTTTTTACCGTAGTACACCGACGTTTCGGGAACAAATTCAATAAAAT